GGCGCTGCGCCTGGTGCAGGGCCCCCCCCATCGGCCGCCGTGGAGAGCCGAGCGGCAGACGAGGCGGCCCGACAGCGCGCTGCCGACCAAAAGGCTGCTGCGGCGGCCCCTCCACCTGCTGCTGGCGCTGCTGCTGGCAGCGGCCAGGCCCGCGGGTAGCACCCTGCTGCCAGGCGGCGGCCCCGTAAGCGCGGCGCCGCCCGTCCCAGACGGGGCTGAGGAGGCAGAGGCGGCGGCGCCCAGCCGCCCCGCGGCGAAGGCGGCGCCGAGCGGCGGCATGCACGCCTACCTGGCGGCCAACGTCGAGGCGGCGGGCAGCCGCCCGCCTGGCGGCCGCGCGGGCGCCGCGGCAGCCGCGAAGCCTGCAGCCCAGCCCCAGCCAGGGCGACCGCAGGCCAAGCCCCTCCAGCTGGCCAAGCTGCTGCGCACGGAGGCCGTCAGGAAGCTTAGCCCCCTCACCAAGTGCTGGCGCTGCCTCGGGAGGATCGCCAGGCAGCTCAGTGCGGCTGCCGCCGCCAGCTCACCCCCTGAGGGGCACGGGGGCTACAAGAAGCACCTGGTGCAGGTGGCCAAGAGCTTGGGGCCCAAGTTCGAGCAGGCGGGCTGCTCCATGTTTGAAGGCACTAAGCTGGACTCGCTGACTGTGGTGATCCAAGAGCCCTCTGTGCAAGGGCAGGCCTTCCTGCAGATGATCGAGAGCGCGGCGGCGAGACTCTGCAAAGAAGAAGCCAAGGCGGCCAGGCTGCGCTGGATGGACTACGTGGACGTGGCCTCGACGAAAGGGGCGAAAGGAGCCCACGATGTCATACAGGACCGCGATCAGGTGCTGGACTCGGTGATCGCGCACTGCCCCGACTGGCTGACGCTCCCCGTTGTAGTCCAGCAAGCCCAGAACCAGATCCGCATAGAGCGGAAGGCCCTCTGGAAAGGAGCCGATAGGGAGCACAGGTCCAGACCAGCCGATTGGATCTGCTCCATGGTGCTGCCCCCGTTCACGGTGGGCGACAGCCTCGAGGCGGCGAAGTCGCTCCCGAAGCAGACCGCTCTGGGCTGGGATGCGTTCCACCCGCGGCTGGTCCTCTCCCAGGGCAGGCCCTCCGCCGATATGATGGCAGAGGTGCTCACGGCTTGGGTGTTGCAGCCGCAGCCCACGGCCCTCTTCACCGCGGTGTTCCTCTTCCTGGGGAAGCCAGACGGAGGCCGCCGCCCGATCGGCCTCATGGGCAAGTGGTTGCGCATCTGGTGCAAGGTGCGCCGCCGCTACGGTGTCAAGTGGGAGAACACTTTGGCCTGGGGCAAGGATGCGAACAGCTGCGACATGGCGGTCTACCCACACAACCTGGGGCTCGCGCTCGCCCGCCAGCTTGGCTTTGGGGCAGCCTCAGTCTATCTCGACGGCAAGTTCTACGCGCGGACCGACCACGACCGTTTCAAGCGAACTGCCGAGTTGGTGAGCTTGATGGGCCACCGCTACGAGGAGCTCTTCTGCCTGGACCTCTTCGTCGGCGCCCAGTACCAGGTGCAGAGGCCGCGCTGTGGCCCTGGCGGGGAGCGCCGCTCGCGCGGCTGGGACGCGGGCGCACTCGTGGTGCCCGCGGGCACCCTCGTCTTCACGGACGGCTCCTGCGTCAACAACGACCTGATGATCAGGAGCGCGGTCTGGTCGGTGGCGGTTCTCACGACCGTTGGCGAGTGGGTGGTGCAGGCGAGGGGTGCGGCGCCGTCTGCCCTGAAGCTCATCCCCTCCCGTTCGCGGGCGGCCATCGAGCGGGGCGACCTCACGGAGGTGGAGCTCTTCGGCAACCGCCTCGTGGGCCAGCTCGCGAAGGCGGGCGCGGCGATGCACGCCATCGCCGACGAGGAGGCCCGCCTGCTCCAGGGCTGCCAGGCCCGCACCCGCTTCGCGGCGCGCTTCGCCGCCGAGTTCGAGGTCCAGGTCACGGAGTCGGGCTTGCGGGGCCTCACCCCCTACATTGCGGCGGAGCTCGACGGCGAGGCCGACCCCCTGTTCGCCGCCGCGGCGGAGCCCGCCCCTGGGTCAGGTGGGTTCAGCCCACCGAAGTCGCAGTCCCAGGGGCGCGGCCAGTTCGGGAAGAAGCACGACGTGGAGGTGCGCGCGGCTGGCATCGCGGAGCTGGACGCGCTGTTGGCTGCTCCTGACGGCGCGGCGCTGGTGCGCGGCAGCGGCATCTCGGAACCCATCGTGCTCCCCGAGGGCCGCGAGGCAGCCGCCGCTGTCGGGCACGCCGCTGGCGGAGGCCCTGGGCAGCCGCCGCGGCCTGCAGACAGCAGCCTGCCGCCCCCAGCTGCCCCCTTGGTGCGCCGCCCGCGGCAGGTTCGCCAGGCGCCACGCGACGCGGAGCACGTCGCGCTGTATGGCGATGGCAACGTGAAGGAGATCGACGCGGAGCTTTGCGGTGGCTACGCCGAGGCGCAGGCCTCGGCGGCTGATGGCGGCCCCCTCCTCGCCACGGCGGCGGCCCTGGCAGCGGCGGCGGCTGCTGGCGCCTCCAGCTCGCGCCCTTCGCCCATGAGGCGCCGCCCCGCCTCGGCCGAGTCGCCCGCGGATGCCCTGCGACGTGTCGCCCAGCGCAGGGCGCAGGTGCAGCCGAGGCGCCGCGAGGCCTCAGCCCCCGCGCCCTGCCCGCGCCTGGCGGCGGCGGAGGCGGCGAGCAGCGGACCAGCCACTGCGGAGGCGGCTGATGCAGCCCGTCCAGCGGGATGGAGGGTCAACGGCCACCTCCTCATGGAGTCGAGAGTCGAAGGAGACGACTCCGAGCCCTTCTTGGTCTGCGCGGCTTGCTGGATGCACTGCCGCCTCCCCAGGTACGCGCACCGCGGCCTGGGCAAGCAGTGCGGGGCCAGCGCGGCGGCTGGGCAGCCCAAGTGCAAGAAGGGATCCAGAGCCCAGGCGCGGTCGGACTTCGCTCGCGGCATCCTGCCAGCGTCGAAGGAGCCGATCGCGCCGCTGGCCTCGCCAACGGAGTGCACGCGCCGGCGCTGGGCGGCGGCACTCCAGGCCAGGCAGGGCCACGGCGCGGAGGGGCAGGCGCTCGTGGCAACGCCCGTGCCAGCGCAGCGGCTGCCAGCAGCCGCCCAGCCCCCACCGCCTGCGGCTGGCGCTGGGAGCCAGGCGGCTGCGCCGCCGAGCGCCGCGGCTACGCGGCGGCTGGCCGCGGCGGCCCCGCGGGAGGAGGCCGCCGAGCCGCGGCGGTCCCGCCCAGGGCTCGAGGGTGCACGTGGAGCCCACGGCTTCGCGGACGCAGCGGCGGCCCGCGAGGGCGGGCGAGCCGCGACGGCAGCGGCCGCCCGCGCAGGCCGCGCGGGGACGCGCGCCGCGGGCTGAGGCGGCCTCGGCAGGCGGCTGTAAGCGCCCGCGCGGCCCTCCGCCTCTCCGCCTTGAATTTATGCAAGAATCCGCCGAGCCCGCTCGGCGCCCACACAGATAATGCCCGCACCGTATTAGATTTCGATCGATTCCGATTTGCCCCAATTTGGGACTCCGGTTCGAATTCCGTTTTCTCCATGGAGGCCTTATGAGCCTGCCGATTTCCGCCGATCCGACTTCTCCCCACTCGGTTGCCGATTTCCGCCGATCCGATTTGCTTCGATCGCCGATCCGACTCGTCGATTCCTTCTGGGCTCCTCCTGTCGATACTTGCTGTTACCCGTAACTATTGATTCATAATTGTTTGTTTTCGCTTGTAAATTCCCAACCATCCTGTGGTGTTGGGACCTCGTTTTGAAGAGACGGTCCCCGCGTTCCTCTCCTCCTCCTCCCCCTCCTCCCCCTCCTTCCCTCCCTCCTCCTTCTTCCATGCGCTTCACCCACCCAGCACAGCGCTTCGTGGCCCCATAGGGAGCTCCACCGAAGCCCCCAGTGGCACCGCCCGCATGCGTCCGCCACCACCCAGCACAGCCTTTGCTCCCTGCGTTTTACCCACTCGTGGCCCCACAGAGAGCTCCACGGAAGGTCCCAGTGGCACCGCCCGCATGCGTCCGCCACCACCCAACACGGCCCTTGCTCTTTGCGTTTCACCCACCCAGCACAGCGCTTCGTGGCCCCATAGGGAGCTCCACCGAAGGTCCCAGTGGCACCGCCCGCATGCGTCCGCCACCACCCAGCACAGCCCTTGCTCCCTGCGTTTCACCTACCCAGTACAGCGCTTCGTGGCCCAATAGGGAGCTCCACCGAAGGTCCCAGTGGCACCGCCCGCATGCGTCCGCCACCACCCAGTACAGCCTTTTCTCCCTGCGTTTCACCCACCCAGTACAGCGCTTCGTGGCCCCATAGGAAGCTCCACCGGAGGTCCCAGTGGCACCGCCCGCATGCGTCCGCCACCACCCAGCACAGCCCTTGCTCCCTGCGTTTCACCCACCCAGTGCAGCGCTTCGTGGCCCCATAGGGGGTTCCACCGAAGGTCTCAGTGGCACCGCCCGCATGCGTCCGCCACCACCCAGCACAGCCTTTGCTCCCTGCGTTTCACCCACCCAGTACAGCGTTTCGTGGCCCCACAGAGAGCTCCACGGAAGGTCCCAGTGGCACCGCCCGCATGCGTCCGCCACCACCCAGCACAGCCCTTGCTCCCTGCGTTTCACCCACCCAGTACAGCGCTTCGTGGCCCCATAGGGGGTTCCACCGAAGGTCCCAGTGGCACCGCCCGCATGCGTCCGCCACCACCCAGCGCAGCCCTTGCTCCCTGCGTTTCACCTACCCAGTGCAGCGCATGCGTCCGCCACCACCCAGCACGGCCCTTGCTCCCTGCGTTTCACCCACCCAAGACAGCGCTTCGTGGCCCCATAGGGAACGCCACCGAAGAAGATATCCACAATCGCGGTATTCCCAACTGCAAATGGTTGGGTCTTTCACGAGGCTAATTTTTTGATATTCGTAGTTTGTTCGTTTGTAATTGTCATGTGTTGTTTAATTTGTATTTTTTGAGGTTATTCCAGAGCCCGCCTGACCTTCGGGCCCTGCCGGCAGCGGGCCCCCCAACGAGGAAGCCGCCGCTGGCGAACCCCACGGCGCGGGCGGCGGGGAACGACGCCCGCACGCAGCGCAGGCCCGCCACAGGCGAGTGGGGAGCGCGCGCGGGAAGGGCGAGGAGGCGGCAGGCGCCATCTCGGGCCCGCTCGGGCGTTGAGCAGTGGGGGGGGAACGACAAGCCGGAGAGGTGAAGAAAGGTGCACTTCCTGTGCCCTGAAGGGGCCCCCCGGGGGCCCAAAAGGGGCACGGAAGGCGCACCTTGCTCCCCCCCCCCCCCCCGCTGATCGCCCCCCACTAATCGACGCCCGCTCCGTGAGCCCACCGAAGCGTCGGTGGATCAACACGGGGGTGGGTCCTCCTTTAGACCCAGGCAAGTTCATTTGCATGGCAATCCCCCCCTCCTCCACCTTTTCAAGCAAGGCTGGGCCGAAAAGGCGTGCAAGCGAGTCCCAGCTTGCGTGAAATCCGGATTCCCTTTCTCAGGAGGGGAAAAAACAACACACACAGACACAATGAATCGTCGATCCCCAGGAAAATATGGGAAGTGGGGGGGAAGACAAAAAAACAGAAAATATTGGAAAATACTGGGAATCTCGTTATTTGTGTGTATTTATTTGTGTGTCCCAGGGCCTCTTCACTTTCGGGCCTCGCCACGCCCCCACCCCCTTCCCCCTTGCATGCAAGTAAACTTTCAGGAGGGGGAAAGACACACAGACACAATTAATCTTCGATTCCCCAGAAAATATGGGAAAATATGGGAAGTGGGGGGGGGGACAGAAACCCAGAAAATATTGGAAAGGATGGGGAATATTTTCACGTGTGTGTATTTATTTGCCCCTTCAAACTTGCCGGAATCTAAAAAAGAACGGCCTCCAAGTCTCAGAGGGGATCCGAGAAGTTCGCCGGGCTCGATGGCAGCTCCGCATCCGTTCCCGGAGGTTTTTTCCTGCCTCGGGCTGCTCTCCCGCAGCTGAGCCTCGTCGAGGGCGTTCCAGTGCTTGACAACGTTGCCCTCCCCCCCCCCCGCTGGCGGCCTCGGCCCTCCCCTCACACTCGTCGACCCTCGATCCTCGCCCTTTGCGATCCTCGGTCGTCGCCCTCCTCTCGGGCCGGACGAAAGGGTGGGACAGTCTGGCAGCTCTCGGACGTGCGCAATTGTTCTCAGCTGGAAACCATCGGCGAGCATCTTGGAGCACCTTGCGAACAAAAAAGCACGCACGAAATCGAAACATGCACGGGGCATGGACGTCAGAGCGATGGCGAGATGGGGCAAAGAGGGGGGGATACGAAATCTGCTGCACGCAGCCCCGATGCACGGGCGCCTCCCAGCGCCAGGAAAGCCAGCTGCTGGAGCTGATGCTCTGACCTGCCCGTTGCTGTCCTGCCCTTTTTGTCCCCCCCGATCCTCGCCCTCTCACCTCGGTCGTCGCCCTCCGGAGAAGGCCCTCTCGGAAGGCGGCGGGGCCTCTCAGAAGCCCCCTGGCCTTCCGAGAGGTTCTCTGTGTCTTCGGGGAACTTGGCATCGCTCGGACGTGTGCATTTTTTTCTCGGCGACGGCCCTCGAGGACCATCCTTGATCATTTGGCGAAAAAAAACAAAAAACAAAACAAAACAAAAACAAAAAAAACGCACGAAATCGAAGAATACACGAGGAATGGACGTCCGAGCGATGGCGAGGGAAGGCTTCGAGAATTCGTCAGAAGGCTGGAGGCCTCCTGAGCCTTCCGAGGAGGCCCGCCCCCGTCTCGCTTCCCCCCCCGCGCTCGCCGCCGGTCCTCGCCCTGCCCTGAGGTCCGACGCTGCGAAAAAAAATGCGGCATCGTGAGGAATCACGGCCAGAGCTCCAGAGCCCGCTTGTGTACAGTCAAAAACCCTAAGAAGGACGCGCGACTTTGCTCAGAGTACCCTTGCGTCCTTGCTCTTCCTTGCTCTTGCGTCCTTGGGGTTTTCGTCGCCCGCCGCCCCAAAAATCCCAACTTCGGCTTCCAAGGGTCTTGCGTCCTTACCGCGCGTCCTTATTAGGGTTTTTGACTGTAGTCCAAAACCCAGATAGCAAGGCGCCAGAAGGCGTGAAGAGGCCTGGCGAAGCTCTGTGGCAGGGCCTGGAGAGGGCCTCCAAAGCACCTTCTGGAAAGCTCCCGGGCAAGCGCACTGGGAAACGCTTAGAACAGGCCCTTCGGGACACGCTGCGGGGTCGAGCCGGCTGCGCCTGGGATTCCTGCCGGAAGCCGGAACGACCTCCGAGACTGCCCTGCGGCCCCGGCTTCGAATCGAACAGCCCTCACTTATAGCTCTGAGGAGCTATATCCGGGAAGCTTTCTGCGCCATGTTTCGAGCCGGGTCGGTGTGTGTGTGTGTGCGAGGGTCCCAGGGCCCGAAGAAGGAGCGAGAACGTCGGCTGCATAGAGATTGCAACGCCAGGCCCTCCGGGTCTTCGATGCTCGATCTGGGGCGACGAGGTCTGTGCGCGTCCCTGCCCCGGGCCTGGCCCAGGCCTGGCCCAGGAGCGGTGCAGCTGCCTCCCTGGCCAAGGCGGGAGGGCAGATGCACCACTCCTGGGCCCAGGCATGGGCCAGGCCTGAGGCAGCGGGTATGTGCACGCCGGTCGCTGAAAGTCAAAGGAGGAAAAGGTACCCATACCGCCGTCCTTTTCTCGTTTTCGCCCTCTTCGGCCGTCTGGGAGGCCCTCGTCGCCACCGCCGGATTCGCTTCGGAATCCGGGTCAGAACGCACCCTGGGAGAGGTCCGGGGAGTAGCGGTATCGGTATCTCTTGGCTTCCCCAGAAAGTAGGTACTGATTCCCAGATCCCTATCCTTTTTGGCCGCCTTCCTCCTGTTAGAACCGGATATGCATCTGCTGTGCCGTGCTACCCTCCGGGAGGGTCTGGGCCCAATCTACTTTATCCGCCTTCCTATTTCATGTTTTTACCTATGTACTTCTGTCTGCGTTTCCTACTTCCTACTTCCTGTTTTTTCCAGTTTACTTATTCTGACCGTCGGATGTGATCTCGTCGCCCTGCGATCCTCCCAGCTCGGCCGGAGCTCGCCCCTTCCAGAGGGGGGAGGGGGGGAGAACAACAGGGAGCTGCCACTCCGAACCCAGAGAAGGGTGCGTGAGCAGCATGGACGCGGGGACGAGCCGCTCAGACCGTGTCGAGGTCGTCGCCCTCCTCGCCCATCTTGGCGGCGCGCACAAGGGGGTGGAGGGAGGGGGGTGAGGGAGTCTTAGAGAAGGAGGCTGCTTCCTAACGCTGGCCTCCCATCCACAGAGAAGGCCCACTCCTTCTGAGAAGCAGGGGTGCTTCTAAGAAGCCCTCCCGATCGATCGATCCATCCATCCTCGATCGATCCTCGATCGATCGATCCTCGATCGATCCTTGCTCCTCGATCGATCCTCGCTCGATCGAGGAGCGATCCTTGCCTCTGCGCGTGGCCGACCATCCTCGAGCGAGCCTCGCTCCTCGCCCCCCCCCGCTGGCGGCCAGAGGCAACCGGGAGCCCAGCCGGCGCCGCGGCGCGGCGGCGCGCAGCGGCTCCCGCAGGCAGAGGCACCGGAGCCGCCCCGCGCCGCGCAGGCGCGCCCCGCCGCCGCCAGAGCGCGTCTCCGGGCCCCACGCCCCAGGGATCGGGACGGGAGAGAGAGAGAGAGAGGAGAGAGAGAGAGAGAGAAGAGAGAGAGAGAGAGAACGCACAGATGTTTTCAACAGTGCTGGATTCGGGCTCCCCTGGACATCTCTACCCAGGGCATGGCCTCGCCGAGAAAGCGCCTTGAGCCCTACGTCATCACGGATCTCGGGCTTCTTTCGCCGAAGGGTGTTAGGGTGTTTGGGGGGGCAGTTTCGGTCTCGAAGCTCGAGATTTTCGGGCGTTTGGGCTCTCGGCGGGGTTCCAGCCTCGGGGTGCTTTCCAGCAGCTGCGCCTCGCCGAGGGCGTTGCGGGGGGGGGGGCCTGGATCGTCCCGAACGGCCGCCAGAGTCCCGAGCTGCGACTCGAAAACCAGACACCTAGGGGAAGCAGGTCTTGAGGGAAACGGGCCCTGAGGTGTTGCGCCGTCACCGAGCCTCAAAGACCCTCCACGGGCCCCGGGAGCGTCAGAATACGACTCAGGATGAAGCGTTCGGTCGGTCCTAGGGGAAGGCCCCAGGGTCCAGGACCCATTTCCTTCATGTTGCTGCTGGCGGGTCGTGGGGCTCCTCTGGGGGCCGCCGTGTCCGAGACCCTAGGAGCGTCTGGGATCGCTTCCGATCGAGGATCGAGGTTGCTTGGCGTTTGTCGCCTTCTCAGGTTTCTGGGAGACCCCTCGTTGTCTCGAGGTCCGCCCCGAAATTTTGACCAGAGCGTGCCCCAGGACATGGCCAGGTGCCGAGTTTCGAGGCCTCTCTCGGACCTCTCCTCCCCGGCCGCTTTCCCCCGACCCGCTCTCTCTCTCTCTCTCTTTCTCTCTCTCTCCCTCTCTCTCTCTTTCTTTCTCTCTTTCTCTCTCTCTCTCTCTCTCTCTCTTTCTCTTTCTCTCTTTCTCTCTTTCTCTCTCTATCTCTCTCTGCCTCTCTCTCTCTCTCTCTCTCTCTCTCTATATATATATGTCTCTTTCTCTCTCTTTTCCCCTCTCTCTCTCTCTCTCTGTGCCGTTCTCTCTCGCTTTCCCCCCTCCCCCATGTCGTCCCGTATCCCCGTTCTCCCCCTTCAGTTTCACGCCATCTCTCTCTTTCTCTTTCTCTTTCTCTCTCTTTCCCTCTCTCTCTCTCTTTCTATCCATCCCCCCTTCCCTTCGCACCCATATCACAGATATGCATCTATGTAGATCGCACTGTCCCCAAGCACTGCTTGCACTGTTTGGGGTTCTTGTTTCTTCTCTACGGAACCGGGCCTGCCCGTCGGTATGGCGGCTATGTGGTCGCCGTCGCCGCCCCGTTGCCGCCTTCTTGCCGCCCATCTTCTGGGCTTGCCGGCCGGTTTGGCGGTTGTGCCGTCGCCGTCTCCGCCCCGCCGGGCTGGGCTTGCCCGTCGGTCTGGCGGCTAGGTGGTCGCCGTTGCCGCCCCGTCACCGCCTGGCCCTGCGTTGCGTTGCATTGCGTTGTGTTACTTCGCCTTGCATTCCATTGGGTAGCATTGCTGTTGCTGCGCTGCTCTGCAATGGTTTTCGGTGATGTACGTTGCTGTGCCTTGCTTTGCATTGCTGTGCGCTGGATTGCGTGGCATTGCTCTGCACTGCTGTTTAGTGCTCTGCATTGCTTTACATGATTTGGCATTGCTGGACATTGCGTTGCATGGCCTTGCAATGGTTTAAACTGTTTCGCACGGTGTTGCATTGCTTTGCATTGCACTGTTTTGTTTTGCTTTGCCTTGAAGTACCTTGCGTTGAATTGGTTTGTGTTGACTTGCATTCCTTTGCACGCACCATAATGCCCTAACACCTCAAGACCTTAATACTCGGCCCGAATACCTCAAGACCATGATACCCTAATAACATTGTTGTTGGTTGTTGAAAATATTGTTATGTTTTATAAATATAAGAAAGAAAAAGAAGAAGAACAATAAAAAGAAACCAAAAGTACCCAAACGCTCTAAGACCCTAAGACCTTCATACCCTAAGACCAGAGACCGAGACATCCTGATACCCAAATACCATGACGCCCTGATCCCCCAAGGCCTTAACGCCATATGGTCGGAATGCCGTAGGACCCCGATATCCGAATACCATACAACCCTAATGCCCGAGTACCCTAAAACCCTAACCCAAAAATACCCTAAAACCTTAACAACCGTAATACCGTATTGCGCTAAATCCCTAAACTCCGAGCACTTTGCTGCCCTAATGCCCTAACACCCGAGTGCCCTAGACCTTAATGGCCGAATACACTACTACCGGAAGGTCTTGATAACCTTGACGCCATAATACCGTAAGACCCCAATTCTTTAGAACCCCAGATCCCTAAAGCCCGAATACCAATGCTCTGACGCCCTATACGCATAAAAAACCATATCACAAAGAAGACTCTCATACTGGAGGGACCTAATACCCTAATACCCTAAGATCTTAGAACCGTGATACTCTAATGCCCGAACGCCCCAATATCCTAAGGCTTTCACACACAAATTGAGAACCGAAAGCACTATATCTTCAATACTGCAATACGCTACAGCCGAATACCGTTGTACCCGAAAACAGAATGCCCTAATACAGAGGACACCCTAGTGAAGACCCAAATGCCCAAAGATCCAGGTGATCTAAATACTCAAGAGCCAAAAACCCGAACACCCTAGCTTCGAACACCTTACCTTACGACATTAACACCATGAGACCCGACCCCAAGACCCTGAAGCCCTCATACTCTAAAACCATAAGGCCCTAATGCGCGAAGACCCTACAACCCTTTAAACCCGGGGACCTTCAAACCCAACTACCTTGGTACCCTAACACCCTAATCCTTTACGGCCATGATGCCAAAGGCCCAAAGCCCTAACAACAAGAAATCCGAAAACCATAAGACACCCGAAATCCTGATACCCAAAGGCCCTAACGCCTTAATGCCCCAACACTTTAACACCCTATGGCCCGATTGCTCTGAGACCTTGAAATTTTAGAGCCATTGTTCAGTGATGCCCTCAAGCCCTATGGCCCTAATACTACTACTTCCTAAAACCCGAATGCCCGAATACCTGACACCCCAAGACTCCAAGACCCTAATACCCTAACAGCCTAAAGCCCGAATACCCTAGTAGCCGAACACCGTGCCCTAAGACCATATTACCGCAAGACTCTAAGGCCCTCATACCCTAAAACCCCAGGACCCTACTACCCCAAAAAAGAACCTTCATACCAGAATCCCCAAGCCCCGCGCTACCCTCAGATCTCTAGCACTGGAAGACCCGAATAAAGAATTGTTTTAAGACCCTGAAGCCCTAATGCCACAATACCCTAACACGCAGATGCCCATAAGAGATTGAGCCCTAAAATCCGAACACCCTAAGACCCGAACACCTCAATGCCCCAAGACACTCAGAACCCTCCGATCTTGACACCCTAAAGCTTTGATGCCGCAATACCGGAAGACCCGGGTACCACAAGATGTTGATGTTTTTATTCCCGAACACCGTGAAATCTTAACGCGCCAAGCCTTCAATACCCTCAGCAACGAACACCCGAATACCGTAAACACTTTTATACCCTAATACATCGAGACCCCGATACTTTGAGTCCATAGAGCTTGAATGCGTTGAAACCTTGACACGCTGATACCCTAAAACTTGAATACCCTAAGACCCGAATACCCCGAAACCCTAAGACCACACGGCTCCAGTGCCCAAATTCCAAGAACCGGAATGTCGAAATCCACCAACACCCTAAGACATTAAGACCTTGATACTCTAACGCCCGACGACCCTAAGACCATAAGACCCGAAGACCGTAAAATCCGAATGCCTTAATTCCGCAATGTCCTAAGACCTCCATGTCTTAGGACCCTAAAGCCCTAAGGCCCGAATTCCTTGATCCTCTAAATGCATTAAGTCCTAAAGAAATTTAAACCCCTAAATCCCTAATTCTCTAATACTCTAAGACCTGAATACCAAAAGACCCTAATAGCCGAATGCCCTCATACCCGAAAAACGTAACACCCCAATGCACTAAGACACAAAAGCCTTGATACTCTAACACCCTGATGCCCGAAGATCACAATATCCTAAGACCCTAATAACCTAAGACGCCGAAGCTCGAATAATTACCTGAACACCGTAGCACCCGAACATGTTAATACACTAACACCCGAATTCCCTCAGACCCTAAGACATGAAGACCTTAAGACCCGACCACGCTAATACCCGAACCCTGACCGTAAGACCCTGAGACCCGAAGGCCCTAATGGCCTAAACCCCTGAGACTAGAACGCCCGAATACCTCGCAGCCCTAACGCCCAGCTTGATCTCACAAGCAGTCGCCATCGTCCTCAGCCGTCGCTGTCATCATCACTTTCGATATGGCCATCGCCAGTCTAAGGAGCACCGCGGGCAATAGGTGCGTCAACGCTCAAGAAGCCGTTGAGCAGACCCTAGTCGGATGATGGACCAGCGCACATGTGGTCCCCAGAACGCCCGCAGACAGCCGACAGATACGCCCAGTTCGCCTCATATGGCGCATGAGGACGCCGACGTCTCCCAAGAAAGCCCCAAGGTGTGCCGAAGAGCGATGCGCACGCTTAGGTGCTAGCGAACCCCAGCTCTGGAGAAGCTCACAGCTCCACTGAAGCAGTGACACTCACGCGAGTCAAGCGTGCCCGAGAGCAGCGGAGTCCGAGATCAGCTGGGTGCGGATTCAGCCGGGTCCGAGTTCAGCCAGAAGTTGAATTCGGACCTAATTGAATTCGGACCCAGTTGATTTCGGACTCAGCTAAACTCAGGCCCAGCTGATCTCGGACCTAGCTGAACACCCACCAGAATTCGGACGCAGGCTCGCGCCGCAGCAGGAAGGGCCGAGTCTTAGGTCAGCAGGGTCCAATTCAGGGGATTCTGGGATCAGCCAGGTGCGAGGTCAACCGGAAAAACAAAATCGTACCCAAGCCAAATCAGACCCCGACGAACGCAATCCCCAGCTGAACTCGGACACAGTTGAACAGATACCTAGCTGATCTCGGTCCAATCTGAACCCCCGGCAGAACTCGGACTGGAGGTTCGCGCCGCAGCGGGAACACCCAGGTCCGAGTTCAGCCAGATCCGAGTTCAGCAGGGTCCGAGTTCAGCCGGGTCCGAGTTCAGCCGGGTCCGAGTTCTGCAAGGTCCGAGTTCAGCAAGGTCCGAGTTCAGCGGGTCTGAGATCAGCCGGATCCGAGATCAGCTGGGTCTGAGTTCAGCGGGGTCCGAGTTCAGCCAGGTCCGGGTTCAGCCCTTTCCCAAGAGGGCCCCAAGAGGTTCCAAGGGAGCCCCAAGAGGGTGCCAAAACGGATCGTGGGACAATCTGTCTTGGGGGGGGGGGGGCGGCTCCCTTCGTGCCCAAAAGACCTTCCGGAACGATTCCCAGATGCCCCCAGAGATTCCCGAGAGACCCCGAAGACGCGCACCGGATTCCCCAAGAGGCTCCCGAGGGGCCCCAAGTGCTTCCAGGCAGGCGGCTCCCAGGAGGCCTCGCAGTTGGCCCCCAGAAGCGTGTGGGACGACGCGCGTCTATACATCCTGCACGGCGTCCCCAGAGGGGCTTCCAGAGGCCCCCAACTCCCGATCCATCTCAGGGCTTCAAGAGGCCGACCGCGCCGCGAGGCCCCGAGAGGCACACAAGACGCCCCGACATCACCATCCAGGTCAGGGGTGTGCCGACGTGGGCGGGGCGGCGGGATGCGAACCTTGGATCTGGGGCCGTCGGTGGAGCTCCTGTGGGGTACGATTCGTGTGAGGAGACCGACTACACACACAGGGGCACGTGACGGCATGCGACTCATCCCACTAGGGCCGCATGTGAAGCTACATCCCTCTGGGGCACGATCCGTGTGAATGGTGAGCCGAGATGGGGGGAGGGACGCCATTGAAAGTTGTCCCTAGATGCGAAAGTGGGGCTCACGGGGTGGCACGATCCGTGTGAGAACCGTGCCGAAATTGGTGGGGGGACGATGTGTGAACCCTGCCTTCCTCTGGGGCCGTAGGTCTCGACTCAATCCACGTGATTTGTTCCTTTTTATTTCAAGTTCAAACCATGTGTGGGTCAGGATTTCAGTGGAGCTGTGACCGAATCGCACCACCCAGGGGATTTTTAGTGGTGATGAGGAGGAGGAGGAAGGAGGAGGAATGCGGGCAAGCAGGTTCTGCAGAAACCTTCAGGTATTTCCTAGTCACCCCACCCGACTCGCACTGCAAAGAGGGAGAACGCAGGGTACCCAGCAGACAGGGACGCCGGGGCCCGGTGAGGGCCCTCAGACGCCCCGCATATTATATTCAACGTAGCATACGTGGTATCCCGCAGTTGCGGGTAAGAATGAGGGGGCGGCGGGGGCGGCGGCAGTCTGCGAAGCTCTGAAGAAGCCCGCCGCAGGCGCTTCATTCTTACAAATAGTGTGGGGTCATAGTCTCCGTGCGGGGCCTCTTCCATGTTCATGCTCGTTCATGATTGTGTGTTTTGTCTGGCAATCGGACGGAGCGCGGGGCGCGCACGCGCGCGCCCGCGCGGTCCGTGCATCGAACTCCAAGTCCGCCCCGCCGTTGCCTGCCTTGCCTCCCGCCCCGTGCCAGGGGGCACCCTTTGAGGAGGAGGTGGAGGAGGAGGAGGAAGAGGAGGAGGAAGAGGGGAAGGACGAGGAGGAGGAGCAGGAGGAGGAGGAGGACGACGAGGAGGGGGAGGAGGAGGAGGAGGAGGAGGAGGAGGAGGAGGAGGAGGAGGAGGAGGAGGAGGAGGAGGCGCAGGAGGAGGAGGAGGAGGAGTGGAAGGAAGGAAGGAAGGAAGGAAGGAAGGAAGGAAGGAAGGAAGGAAGGAAGGAAGGAAGGAGGAGGAGGAGGAGGAGGAGGAGAGGGAGGGAGGAGGAGGAGGGCAGGGGCGACCCTTCGAAGCGAGCGGGGGAGGCCAATGGCCCGCCCCCCCTTTCAGAGGTGTGCGTCTTATGCGCTTCGCGCGACGCTTCCTTCCAGTGCCTCGTCCTTCCTCCTCCAGCCTCCTCCTTCCTCATGCCTCCTCCCTCATCCTGCCTCATGCCTCCCTCCTCATCCTTCCCTCCTCCTTCTCCTTCCTCCTGCCGCCCTCCTCTGTATCTTCTTCCTGCCTCCTCCCTCCTCCTGCCCCCGCGTGCCCAGCCCAGGCGGCGAGACGCCAGCGCAGACGTCGGGCGCAAGAAGGGTGAACGGGACCGCCCGCCTCCCATCCCAGAAATGACGGGGAAGAGGTTGGCGCGGCAGCTTCGGTCTCTTCTTCCCGTACTTCCCTCCTGCTCCTCATCCTCTTGCTCCTGCTCCTCCTTGTCACCCTCACTTTCCCCCTCACCCTCCTCCTGGCTCTCCTCATAAACCTCCTCCTCCTCCTCCGCTTTGTTGTTCCAATATGTTAATGTTCCTCCTCCACCTCTTCCTCTTCTCCTCCTCCTCCTCCTCCTCCGCCTTCCTCCTGCTCCTCCTCCTCCTCCTCCTCTTCCTCCTCCTCCTCCTCCTCCTCCTCCTCCTCCTCCTCCTCTCCTCCTCCTCCTCCTCCCTCCTCCTCCTCTCCTCCTCTCCTCCCTCCTCCTCCTCCCCCTCCTCCTCCTCCTCCTCCTCCTCCTCCTCTCCTCCTCCTCCTCCTCCTCCTCCTCCTCCTCCTCCTCCTCCCCCCCTTCTCACCATTCCCCACTCTCGCCCTCACCCTCCCCCCCTCCTCCTCCTCATCATCATCATCATCCTCCTCCTCCTCATTCTCCTCCTTTTCATCCTCCTCCTCCTCTTCATCTTCCTCCTGATTATCCTCCTCCTCCTCCTCCTCTGCTCCTCCTCCTCCTCCTCCTCCTCCTCTTTCTCCCCCTCCTCACTTTCACCCTCACCATCACCCTCGCCCCCCCTCATCACCCTCCTTGTCCTGCTCATGTTCCTATTCCTCCTCTTCCTCGTCCACAGCAATGTTTGAAGATTGACCCACCAACCTGAGATGCCCGACCATAGACGCGGATGAGCCCTCGGCATACGACATGGTCACGAAGGCGTCATCCTCTTGGGTATTGGCGCTCCTCCTCCTGATGCTGCTGCTGTTGCTGTTGCTGCTGCTGCTGCTGATGCTGCTGCTGCTGCTGCTGCTGCTGCTCCACCTCCTCCTCCTCCTCCTCCTCCTCCTCCTCCTCCTCCTCCTCCTCCTCCTCCTCCTCCTCCTCCTCCTCCTCCTCCTCTCCTCCCCCTCCTCCTCCTCCTTCTCCTCCTCCTCCTGCGCCTCCGCCTCTTCCTTTTCGTAATCATTCATTCTTTGTCCGTATGCATAACTTCTCCCTGTCGCACCTTGAGGCCAGTTTTTAGGGCGGGCTGGGCGTTTTGCTTGAGACTCCCTCCCTCACCATGAAGGACCCTGAAGCTTAAAAAAGTGGCAACGGTTTCACAAATGGAGGGCGGGGCGTTTTCAAAATTTGGCTATCATTTAAGCGCGACGCGCATCCGTTTTCGAAAAAATGCAACACATTCACGGGTTGATGGCGGGTCGTGTTCAAAATGTGGTTATCGCTTTAGCGCGGCGCACATTCGTTTTAAAACTTTGCAGGAGTTTCACAGATTGAGGGCGGGTCGTTTTCAAAATGTGGTTCTCGCTTTAGCGCGGCGCAAATTCGTGTTAAAACTTCGCAGAAGCTTCACGGATTGAGGGCGGGTCGTTTTCAAAATGTGGTTCTCGCCTTAGCGCGGCGCAGATTCGTCTTACATATTTGCAAGAGTTTCACGGATTGCGGGCGGGTCGTTTTCGAAATGTGGTTATCGCCTTGGCGCCGCGCACATTCGCTTACAACATTTTCAAGAGTTTCACGGGTTGAGGGCGAGTTGTTTTCAAAATGTTGTTCTCGCTTCAGCGCGGCGCACATTCGTAATTTAGAAAATTGTAAGAGCTTCACGGATTGAGGGCGGCTCCTTATCAGAATGTGGCTCTCGCCCTACTGCCGTGCACGCTCGCTGATCAATTTTTCAAGAGTTTCACGGACTCCCATCACCACCGTACCAGAGAGGGTGTTATGGAAGGATTCAGGATTATGCGGGCGCAACAGTTACAGTGGTTTTCTGTGATGAAATCTTAGGAATGGCGTTCTGGCATGATTCAGGATCTTCAAGACGCAACAGCCAAGTGAATCCCGAGAACAATGCTTGGCATGCTTTAGGGTCTTCAAACGGGGGTCTTCCAACGAGGCGGTTCCATCAATGGAAATGAACCACTGCAGGAGCCTATGAAGTGGGAGCTTGGAGGGAGGGTTTACTCCAACATCGTTGATGACTCTTGGGTTTACACTGGTCAGTATCCTCCTCCTCTTCCTCCTCCTCTTCCTCCTCCTCATCATCAGCATCATCATCCGTCTCATCCTTCTCCTCCTCTCCTGAAACCCTCGCGACGTGAAAGAAATCGCGGTGGAGGAATCTGAGAAGTTTCGGCCTCCGGGTTCCTCGTCTGCTTCATTTGGCCGTGGCTTTCTTCAAGGATGCCCAGCTTCGGCCGGCGCACGGCGGAGGATGGATTCGGCTCTCGGCGCGGCGCCCAGGAGAGCTCGGATCGACGGCATAGGCGAACAGCCAGGGGGGAGCAATACGTGTGCGCTGACCAAATGTCGATCGATTGGGATCACATAGAGGACGCCGTGGTCGTCATTTTGGGGGAACGCGCCGAGTTGGGCCAGATTTGGGGCCTCGCAAGGGGCCCAGAGCCCTCGTGTTCCCCGCTCTCGCCGCTGCGAGCAGCACCGACGTCATAAATCCGGGCCCGCCTTCCCACGTGTCCAGGGGCTCCAGTGGTCCATGTGTCACTTCCGAGGGAAGCGACAGCCGGAGGAGGAGGAGAAGGAGAAAGGAGGAGGAGGAGGATCAGGGTGGAGGGTGGAGGAGGAGGAGGAGGAGGAGGAGGAGGAGGGGGAGCAGGAGGAGGGGGAGCAGGAGGAGGAGGAGGAGGAGGAGGAGGAGGAGGGTGAAGAGCATCGGCTACACGCAAGAGTGGCCCTTCGCTGGAGTGACCTCCCACCAGGGTCCCCCTTACGATTGATTGCGATGCGACAGCAGCGGCTCGAGCGCCAGGGTGCGGCCCTCCTGCGCCCCTTCGGAAGCCGCGCAGCAAAGGTCGCTCTTGCCAAAAGTTGCTCCTGCGTGTCGCCGATGGCATCGGAGCTAGCGACAGGGGAAGGAGGGCGAGGAGGAGAGGGCGAGGAGGAGGACGGAGAAGGAGGAAGAGGGGAAGGAGGAGGAGGGAAGGGATCGGCACGGATTCACAGTCGGGTCCGGGACGGGGATCCCATGGGCAAAACTTTTGGGGGCAGGGCTGAAGGCGCAAGGATTGTCGGAGCCAAGAGCCATAACAGCACGGGGTAGAAAATGTGCGGGCTCTTCTAGGCATGCAGGGAATCTTGGATCTCACACCCCAGTGGTTCGCTCTATTGGTCCCCTGGCTGGATGTCGTTACCCTCCCTCGTCACCACGCTGCCCTTCTTAGCGATCCATTTGAATCTGAGCTCTGAGAGCGTGGTATCCCCTCGCGCAGCTCCACCTCGGCCACAAGACACAAGCCGAAACCGAAACCGAATCTCCGTTACGGTCACTTCGGTCTCACCCCCCAGCCCCGATGATTTGTATTTCCTTTTACGAACCGTACATTTTTGTTTTCAGCGATAGGGAGACGCAGAGAGGGCGAGAGAGAGAGGGAGAAAGAGATACTCTCCCCAACCCTCACGCTACAATTTGTTACACGTCGTTCACTATATCTCTCTCTCTCTTTCTCTCTCTCTCTCTCTCTCTGTCTCTCTCTCTCTCTCGCTCTCTCGCTCTCTCTCTCTCTCTCTTTCTGTCTCTGCCTCTGTATGTGTTTGTCCCTTGTTCTCTCTCTCACTCTCTCGCTGTCGCTCTCTATCTCTCCCTCTCTCTCTCCCTCTCTATCTCTTTCCCTCTCTCCCTATCTCTATATCTATCTCTAACTCTATCTCTATCTCTCTGTCCCTCCCTATCCTTCATTCCTCGCCCTCCCGAAAATTCCTGCATCCTTCGCCCGCTGCTTCGCACCACCACGCTTCCCCGCACAAAGGACAAGCGTTCTGCATCTAGGCAGCGGCGCGGAGAACGCTTACCCAGGCGAGCGTGCGGCTGTGTTCCCGTACGATCCGTGGCTGTTCGCTGCGCACGTCCATTCCCCTGGTTTTCTTTTGTTGCCAGCTACTGTGTCCCAGACTTCCAGGAACCATCACGTGCTCGTGTCCTTCGTGACCATGGTCTTGTTCTCTCGTTTGTCTGACCGCCCCCCCCCCCCCCAGCGCTCCCCCTGCACACATGTGGTTAACTGGGCCTGAAGCCAAGGGAGCTCTTGCTATCTAGCTAATCAACTTGCACCCTTCCATAGCTAGAGCCTTCAACCCAAATTGCTAGGCATGATAGGCTTATGCCAAAGGTTATAAGGGTGGTGGCACGTTGACCGGGGCTGCGGTGCTTGGCGTTGGGGATGTTGCGTGTATTATCTTAGTCAGGCGCAGCGCACTTGGTTTGGATTAGCTCAGGTTGGCGAGGTTCGCCCATGCTATCTCCGCCTTTTTGGATTATGCGGGATTGGCTTGCATTAGTATTCAAGTTCACCTACACAGCTGCTGATATGTGCAACGTTGTTTGTATTACCTGTCCTCACAAACCAGAATTCACCCTTAAGACAGATCTGTGGCAGTTGTTGGGTTCCCTCGTTTTGCGTTTGGCTGCTCGCTCGCGTGAAAACATCGATGTGTTGACATACTTTTCGCGTGGTTGCACATGTGTTCGCTCGTCCGTACCGTTGCCCGCCCATCTTCGCAATGCTTGTCTCATGATGTTGCGCATAGCAGTGCCGCATTTTGTTGTGATCGCAGCTATGCCCCGGTCATTTCTGGGGAAAACGGCCACGTCTCAAGCCTCTAGAGGTCGTGATAGTCCGTCGTGGTGTCCCTGAAAATCTTTCTTCGAGGGGTCAGGGTCTGGCTGACAGAACAGCGAGGCGCAGCTGACGAGATTAGGTCCTGAGATGTTCTCATGATGGCCTGTCGGAGGGGAGAAGAAGGAGGAGCGTCCAGTGATTGGTGCGATCGGAAGTATAGCCGCAGATTCGGACGTGCATGAGGAAATCTTCGATCTGACCATTTGCGACGAATGTTCAAAAGCGTGCAAGAATGTCGGTAGTGGCAAGTTCCAGGTATGCTTCCCTTTTCTCACTCCTTCTTTCCCTTTATTGGTTGTTTGTCTCTCTCTCTCTCTCTCTCTCTCTCTCTCTCTCAGTTTCTCACAGCCTAAGTATATATATATATATATGTCTGTGTATGTATATACATATAGATATATGTGTATATGCCTACTGGGCGCCTTCTGGGGGCCTCTGGGTGCTTCCTCTGGCCACCCTGCTTTTGACCACGGTCTCCCTCAACGACCAGGTCACGATTTGGAATGCTTCGGGGGCGTCTTGGGGCCATATTGGGCAGTCATGCCTCTCTTCAGGCCTTGTGGCCCGGTCTTGGAGCTCCCTTGGACTGCTTGGAAGCCCTTTTAGGTAGTTTTGGAGCGAATTGCGGGCTTCCTGGTCGGTCTCGGACGCCTGGAAGACCGAAGAATTGAGTATTCCCCAAATCCTACAAAAACGCATGGGATTCCAATATTTATCTGCGCTTCGAAAGCCTCCTGGAGGTCTTCTTTGGGTCGTCTTCGGGCGTCTGGCGGGTGTTTGGGACCTCTTGGGCTCTCGCAGGGCTGTTCGACCAGCCTTCTAACTGATTTGGCCCATCGCTTGGGCCCAGCAGGGGATTCCAGAAGCCTCGGAAGCCTGGTGGACCTTCTGCAGGGGCGTCCAGGGTGCCCACGGAGCCACGGATCCGGGGGGGCCCGTTTTGGGGGGGGGGGGGGGGGGGGGGGGGCGGCGGCGCAGGACTTCAGAGTGTAAAAATATATGAGAAGGGATACATGCACACTTGTACCTACGTGAGTATGTATATATATATATATATAGACATTTGTCTGTATATGTAAGTGACTATCTATAAACGTGTCTAACTGTATGCACATATTTACTTACATACGTACATACATACAGACATGTAGGTCCTTCCCTCTGGCCCCGACGCAAAAGGAATCCTTGCCCTTGTGTTAACATCAGTCAGATTCATGTGAATCGTCGTACGCCCATTCTCGCGTATTGTCCATGTGCCTAATGATGTATGGTTGGGATCGGCCACGCGCCCTGCCTACTGCGGACACAAGCTGGACACCCAACTAGACGTCTACAGTGAATTTGGCGATCGCAGTACAGTATGCAGTTCAAAAGTGCGATACTGATTACTCCACTGGCATGCTATATGGCTGTTTCCAAGTGAGCACAAGCAAGGGGTGGAGAGGGAGGGGGGATGAGGTCAAATTTGAGGGAGAGGCCCTTGCCCCAGAGGCCTGAGGACGACGGCGGCGGCGGCCGCCGCCGCCGCCATCGAATACTCATGTCCAGAGAAAAGCTGTTGTTTATCTATAGAACCGGTTCTGTGCGCTCTCGCTTCGACGCCAGCTCCGTTTTTTTTTGCAAACGAAGTCCAGTTCATGCGCGGGGTGGGGGCCCAATCCAGGCCCCTGAAGGCCCAATTGCGACGACAACTGCTCCCGCTCGATTATTGGCCAGAGGGCCCCAAGCTCATGAGTGGCGCTTTCGCCGAGATGGCGAAGCCCAGTTACGACAACGGCATACTTCCTCACAATTTACTCCGAGACGCCCTGGCCAGAGATGCCCCCAAACTCGCGCAACTCAATCAAGTTGGCGAAGACCCAGCTACGACGACAACGGCTTTCGCTCGATACTTCCTCGCATTTTACTCCTACGCGCCCTGGCCAGATGCTTTCTCACACTTAGGCAAGGCGCTCTATGT